AATTTCGTTGTTTTACTATTTTTTTTTAAAAATTTTTTTTTTTTTTTTTTTTTTTTTTATTATTAAAAATATACTTATTTATTATTTTTTTTCTTCTTCAGTTTATTTTTTTATTTTTTTAATTTTTTTTTACAATTTTTAAGTTTTTTTTAATTATTATGTATAATTTTATATGTTTTTTCTTTATTTAAATAATATTAATTAATATAAAGTTATTTTCTTATAGTCAAATATTTTTCATAATATATATTTTATTAAAAAATATAAATTATGTTTTTTCAAAATAATTTCATTATATATAATATAAATAGAATTAATTTTAGTTTATATTAAATAAATAATCTATAATATATTTATAAATAAAAATATATCATTAAAAGAATTACATATATTATTTTATATTACAATTAAATAGAAAAATAAATAAATAGTAAAATCAAAACTAATAGTTTTATATTACTAAAAATTATAAAAAATTAAAAGAATTAGCACCCAAAAAAAATAATTTAAATTTTTTTAAATATATATATATAATATAATGAAATTATTTGGGAAAATGAATTATAAAAATTTAATAAAAACAATATTTATTTATAAGAAATATTAAATAGCAAAAATTCATTTATAAATAAACTATTATAATCATATTATTATTTATTTATTTATTAAAAAGAATATTTAATATTTTGAAAAAATAGGAAATTATAAATTATTTTTATATTAATATTATATATAAATGAATATTTATAAAGATATAATATAATTCAACATTCTTCTTATTTAAGTTTAAATTTATTTTGCCTATTTTTATAATAATATTAAAAATATTTAATAATTGTAAATAAACTATTAAAGAACATTTATAAATTTTAAGAAAATTAAGAATTAATTTATTTTTATTAGATTTTTTTCTTTTATTTAATAATAAATATTATAAAAATATATATATAATTTATTTAATAGAATTTTCTTATTTAATTATAATAGAAATTTATAATAATATTTATCTTGATTATTAATTATTTTATTATAAATAATATATTAATTAAACAATGCCTAATTATAATTAAGTATCTTATTTTAAAATTATTATTATAATTTAGTTATATATTTATTTTTTATAGACATGTAAAGATTTTATATAAAATAAAGCATAATGTATATTCTTAATATTAATATTAATATTATAATTAAAATATTAACAAAAAATAATTTTTTTAATTTAATTAAATCAATTTTAATTAATAATGAATTCTACTTTCAAATTTGTTTAAAAAATAGGAAATTAAAATATATTTTTAATAAAGTTACAATACTATTTAAATAATTTTGAATTCAAATTAATAATTTTTAAAATATAAATATTTCTTAAAACAATAAAATAATTGATATTATAATATATTATTGAAAAAATAACTATTTTAATAAATATATTATATTAAATTATTATTTTTTAGTTTAATAAATAAATACATTTTATTAAAATTTAATATATATTTTTTTAATTAATAATAAGAAACTTAAATTATTTAAAAATTTATAATTTTTATTATCAAAAGTTTAGTTTTTAAATAATTTTTTTTTTAGAAAAAAATAAACAATTAATTTTAGTAATGTATATTTTTAATAATATTTATTAATAAGAACGCCTATTTTTTGAATTATTTTGAATTTTTTCTATTTTTTTTAATATTATTTACTTAATATATTTTAAACTAAACTTTTTTTTAAATTACAATTTTAATTTTTTGTTTAAAAAATATTCTTATATTTATTAAAAATATAATAAAATGAAAGTGTTTCATTTATTTTTATATCACTATTAAAAATATCATTATTTTAAAATTTTATTTTTATAAATTTATAATTACATAAAAATATTAAAATAGAATAATAATTTTTTTAATGAATATGGAAAAAAAAATATTAATTTAATCAATGTCAAGATTAATTTAGTAATTTATATAAAATAAAAATAATAGTTTTTAGTTAATATAATTTATTTTGAAGTCATATATATGATAGTAAATTACATTAAGAAGAAATATATAATTCGTTAACAGCAAAAGATATTTTAAAAATAATATAAAATTTGGAAGATAAAAATATTCGTAAAATATATAAAAATGATTAAATTTTTTTTTTAATATAGTTTTAAGAAAAATTTCTGGAAGATTTTTATGTGAACTATTATATAAAAATTATAAAATTTAGTAATTATTTTGTGAAATTATTGGTGTTTTATCTTAATAAGGAAATGTAAAATAAACTTAGTTTTATATATATATATATATTTAAATAATAGGTATGTTTTGGAAAAATACCTGAAATATTCATATAGAGCCCATAAGCTACACAAAAAATATTAAAATTTATTACCAATACAAATTTAAATAAAAATATACAAGAATTAAATAATATGAAAAATCAAGATGATAAAGTAATTCCACTTTGTTGGTACGTATAAGAAATTTCAGAAAATTTTTAAATAAAATATATTTATCCCTAATAAAAAAATAATGTACAGCCTTTAGAGTTTATTGATCCTTAAGATTGTATTTTTGGTTTTGTTTTAACAAATTAATTTACTCCTTAGTAATCTAATAAAAGCAATACGTATTTTATCTTTATTTTATTTTTTAAATATTTTTAACTAAATTTAATTTAAGATTGATAAATTCTGTAAATTTAAACTCTAGCTTATCTAATTCTTCTATTGTTAATTTCAAAACAGTTCCTGATTAAATTGAAAATGATAGGATCTTATAAATAAAACGAAGAATTGGTAAAAAATTATTTTTTTATATCAAACAACCATAAAAAGAAAATAGAAATATATTATTCTATAATATTATATTTTTTTAAAAAAAAAAAATAAATGGAATTAATATTAATAATATTAAATATATTATTATATAAATTTAATTTTAATTAACTTAATTATTTTTTATAAGAGACTAAGACTAAAAACATATAAAATTTTTAATTCGATATTTAAAACTTTAATACTTTTAAAGAAAATTAATATGAAAACTATTATTTAATAAATAGAAATAATAATAAATAATAAAAATAACTTTTATATTCAACTAATTTGGAAGATATAACATAAATATATAAATAAAAATATAAGTAAATATAACATTAGCCTTATTTATAACTAAAATAAAATGATATAAAAAATTAAGAATAATTTTGGCAAAAAAGTTAATAAATAGATGATACAAGTTATGATTAAAATTAACTTCTGTAAAAATTAAAAAGGAAAAATATATAATATTAATTTTTTTAAAAAAATATATAATTAATAGAAATTTAAGTAAAAAATATTAGAGTTTAACAATGAAAAAACAATAATTTTTAAAATCTAATCGCATATTTAAAAACAAAGATTTTTTAAATTAATTTAGTGTTAATATAAAATAAGATTAAATGTAACATTACAAAAATTTTTTATGATAACTTTTTTTATCAAATATTATATTTTGAACTATTATTTATAAATTTTTGAATATTACACTTATATATTTGTATAATTTATTTATATTATATCATTAGTTTTTTATTTATTATAATATAATTTTATATTGATACAATACATTTATACTTTTTTAATTTTGAATGAAAGTATATTATTATGCTTTATAAATAAAAAAACAAAAAGATAATAAATTAAAAATAAATATAAAAATGTAATTAATTTAATAATCAAAGAAATATACTATTTAAGACTAAAAGGAAGCATTTATTGACGGATTTAGAAAATTAGTAATGCCTGGAAAACAATAGACTTAAAGAATCATATATGTCTAAAAGTAACCGAAGACAATAAGATAATTATATGATAAATTAGAAATTAATTAACTAAAAAACATGGTCAAATAATATCCATTGGAACCTCTATCTAGTTTATTTAAATAAGAAATAAAAAAATAAAATGCAATAACAAATTAATTTGCGAATGATTCTAATAATTATACAAATAGGTGTACAATTAGATCTTATAAGGCTTTAAAATAATATAGTAATTAATTAGTAAATTAAATCTTATATAAAAAATTAAAGCATAAATTATAACTATAAAATAGTTAAAATTTACAAATGCTAAGATTTATAATTAAGGTACTGCATCTAGTTTTAATTCTATGAGAATAAAAATTGAAAAATATTAAGATAAAGATGAAAAAACTAAATATATTCAAAATAATACGAATAATCTAAATGCAAAAAACAAAGTATCATCTAAATTTAGTTAAAATTTAAATGAAGATTAAATTCTATAAAAATTTATTGTTTAAAAAAAATTTAATTAAATAAATAAAAAGAAAAATTCTGTTTTAGAATAAAAAAATATAATTAATAATTAGCTATTTAGAAAAACCATAGTTGTAATAATTTTTTTAAAAAAATTGAAAATAATTAAACAGACAAGAATAATAATAGTATTAATAATAATAATGATAATGATAGTGATAATGAATCTTATTATTATAATAATTTTAATCTTTCTGTTGGATTTTTCGATGTTAAAAATGGAAGATTAGTTCAAAATATAAATGAAAATGATAGAAAAAAATTATAATTATTTTTAGAAAACAAAACTTGGAATGCTTTATTATATACAAAAAGGTTTGATTTCGATATAAGTGATTAAAATTAAGAATATTTAAATAAATAGGTTGGAAATATAAAATAATAAAATGAATAAAATACATTAATAAGACATTAATTTAATGAATAAAGATAAATTAATTAAATTTAAAAAATCTTAAAGTAGGATTAACTATTTTCTCAAATTGCTTGTTCAAATTAAAATCATAGTAAAAAAGGTAGTTCCTGTGAAAGTGAAATAAAGAAAAAAAACTTTAAAAAATTTTAAAACACTATGTAAAATAATATACTATCATAAACTTCTTTATATAATATTGCAAATAAAAATAACAAAAGTTAATAATTTAATATAAATAAACAAATTTAAGAATATAAAATATAAAGAAGTAATTAAAATTATAATATTAAAAATAATAATATAAGCTAAATTTCTTCTGTATAAAAAAACGAATCTTTATTAATAAATAGCAAAAGGAGTAGCTGTGATAATTTATAATATAGTCATAATTTTTTGTTTGAAAAGAAAAAAAAAAGCTCTAAGTGTAAAACTGATTTAAATATATTAAGTTTATAATAAATTCAGAATAGCTGTTAGGTTAAATCTTTAGGGAATATAAATAATGTAGTGTATAAAAAACTAAAGAAATAAAAAGAAAATACTTTATTAGTTAAATATTAATATTTAGTTTAAAGTGAAAAACTTACAAATGTTAATCTTAAAAAGAAAGAAGAGAATAAAAAAAAAACACATCGTATGTTCCCAAAAGTACTGTTTTTACTAAAAATTGCTTAAATTTTTAAAATAACCCTTTCATAAAATATACATAAAAAAATTATTTAAAATTAGATATGAATTACGTAAATATTTCAAAAAAGCTAAACTTTTAAACATAAATATTTAAGAAATCGTAAAAAATTAAATTATTCCAAAAAAACCTTTTTAAAGACCAGGCTCTGTTATTTTTCTTAATGCTTGCAAAACAGGAAATATTTAAAAAATTGTAGAATTACTTTAAATTAGTTAATATTACATTCATGAATTTAATGAAGTTAATAGATTTTAATTTTAAAATATATATTTATTTTAAATTAAATAAATAGATTGGTTAAACAGGATTACATATTGCTGCTTTTAATAATAATCTTACTGTTTGTTAATTGTTGCTCAATAATTACGCAGATCCTGAATTAGTTGATTTTTCAGAAAATACTCCTCTATATTATGCTTTATATAATAAAAATCATGATTTAGTTTAAGTATTTTTTGTTCAAATAAACTTTTTTAAAATTTATTATTTTGTTTTTTTAGTTACTTTTTCATAAAAGAGCATAACCTTGGAATTAAAAATATAATTATTCTTAACTTCTAGAAGATGATGAAATGAAAAGAATATTTGACACTGCGAGAATAGTTCATTTTATTATTTAATTACCTTATAATTTTCATGATAATGTTTGGAATATTTTTTTATTAAAACCAATTCCAGATTTATTTTAAGAAAATTAAATTATTTGAATAAAATTTGGTCGAGTAGATTTTCAATTTAATATTTTAAAATAAAATAAATTTCATATTTTAATTTTTTTTTTTATTATTGTTTTTATAATAAAAAAAACAAATATATAATTTTTTTTATATTTTCTTTCAAACAAACAAAAATAAATATATAAACTATTAATTAATGATTTAACAATCTTATTTTATAATAACATGTTAATAAGAAAATTAAATATTTATGTAAAATTAATTAATTGATAGATATTAAAATAATAATCGAAAAAATATAAGAAAAAAGTGATTAAATTTAATTATTGATGAGACTTATTTATGTTTATGAGGTATAATTTGTATAAAATATAAAATCATTAAAAAAATCGATTGATACAAATATAAATATGGAAAATTCATTGATTTAAGATTTATCTCAACTCAATTTATTTATTAGAAATAAAAGAATATTGCTAAATAATAAAATAATAATAAATTATAAAAATTTAAATTAATAATTACATATGTTAATATAATTTATATTAAAAGCCAAAAGAATTATTTTTATTAAAAAAATATAAAAAAATGTTATATATATTGACATAATAAAAAAAATAAAAATTACAATTTAAATTATACAAAATTGAAAATAAATATGCTAAAACGAAAGATATTATGAAACATGATTTAAAATAAATAAAATTAGTTATAAACATAAACTACTATAAAATATAAAAAAATTAATAAAAAAATGTTTTATTGAAAAAACTTTAATAAATTCAAAAAAAATAAAAATAAATTACTGCTGATTTTTCAACTTTAAATAATACTCAAGCAAAACAAAAAAATAACACAAATTATTAACAATTTAGTTTCTACAAAACCTTTAACTAAAACAATAAAAAATAAAAAATATATTATTTCTAAAATATTTTATTATATAAAAAAATGTTGAAAATAAAAAATAAAGGAAATTAATTAATTTACTTATTTAAGGTATAAATTAGAAACTAATAATATGTTTGCATAAAAAATATTTATTTCTAAAAAAAATTATTTGTTTAGAAGAAAATTAATAATTATATTTATAATAATTTGAAATAATTCGAATTTATTATAAATAAATTTTAAAAGTTTTATAAGGAAAAATAATTTGTATAAAAAATAATTAATAAAATTAAACCAAAATACATATTTAGTGAATATAGAAATTATTTTAAAAACTATGAATCTTTTAATTAATAATATTATTTTAATATAAGTATTTTATTATATAATAAAAACATGAAGAAATATTAAGATCTAATTCATTAAATAAATTAATAAAATTAAAATACATTAATAATATCGAAATTTTAGAATTTCCTATTTTGAAATTGCAAATTGTAACTATTATTTTGAAATAATAATTCAAATAATTATAAAATGATAAGAACTATATAATTCTATTTTAAATTAATTTTTATAAAAAGTCTTTTTTAAATATTAATTATATATAGTATATTTATTTTTAATAAAAAAAAAGTTTTAAATTTCGAGCATTTTTTATTAAAGAATCATAAATAATCAGATATTTTAAAATTAAATTAATTTTTTCATTCTATAAATATAATAAATAAAGTATATATAAATTATATATAAAACTTTTAATTATAAATAATAAAATATATAATTAATAAAGTAAATATGTCAAATTTAAATTTAATTTTATAAAATATAAAGAAAAGCAATTAAAACAGTAAGTTAATAATAAAAAATCCTCTACCAAAAGTATTTATAATACAATAAAAAATTAAAATTAAAAACATTTAAAAATCTAAAGAAGCTAAGAAACAAAGAAGATGATTAAAAATAATAAGAAGAAATTTAAAGATAGATATAGTAACATTAATTAGTAGTAATGGAAGAAAAAAAATAAGTTTCATATTTAATATCGAAATAATATCAAAATAAAAATAACGAAAATATCAACACTTAAGTAAATAATATTTTATAATTATTATTAACTAAAAACTTTCTAACAATAAAAATTTAATTATATATAGAGTTTTTTTTAAGGACTTGTATTTATATTTTTCATTGAAAGCTATAATTTATCCAAAAAAAGAATTCAAATATTTAAGAATTAAATATAGTAAAAAAAAGGAGAAATTTTTTGTAATATTTAAGAATATTTTGATGAACATTAAACTTTTTATGATTTAATTTAAGAAGAAAATTAAAATATTTTTTTTATTTGTTCGGAGGATATACAAATTGAAGTTTAAATATTATATTTAATTTTAAATTATTTTATTAAAAATTTAAAAGAATGCTAAAAAAGTTTTAGAATAATATTAATTAAATATTCCTATTATAATTGATAGAATTATAGGCATTGAATTTTTAGTATAATCTTTGAGCAAAAAATAAAGATAAAACATAGATTAATTTTGTAAATATTTTTTGCTTTGTTTTTAAATTATGTTATTAATTTATAATTATAAAATAAAAAGATTTATTTAGACCTACTAAAAAAATTATGAATAATTAAAAATAAATTTAGGTTTAAAAAGTTTAAGATGAAAATATTAATGAGAAGTAATTTTATATTCAAATAAATAATTTTTGTTACAAAAAATAGAAAAAGCATATTAAACATTACTTAAGAATAATAATAATAAAAAATTCTAAATAGTCCTTTTAAAATAGAGAATGAATCATCTCTAGATAATAGTTAAGAAATGGATGAAGATGATTAAAACAAATAAATAAAAATTTAATAAGATATACCATTAACATCAGAATAGATATATAATGCTAGATATTTATGGGATTATAATTATACTTCTGAAAATGAAGATTAGAATCTATTATTAGAAACTGAACTGAAAAAAAAATAAAAACTTAATAATCAAAAAGAATAATAAAATTATATTTCAAAAATGGATATTGAAGAATAAAATGATAAATATTATGAATAAATAATTAAATAAAATTAAGATAAATAATATGAATCATTAGCTGATTTCATATTAAAAGATATAGATGATTAAGATTTAATTAAAAATGAAAAACTCAAAGATAAAATTCTAGAAAGAAAACTTGATTATTTTAATGATTTAGAATCTCTAAATTAAAGTTTTCTAAATTAAAGCATTAATTCTGATTAAAGTGATATTAATGAATTTTCTTTTTAAGCAGAACATATTGATGATTTTTACCATAAATAAATGAACAAATAATAATAAAACAAAGAAAAATACTGGGATTAGAAAAAGGATACATTTGCATGTTAAAATGGATCAAATAAGTTTAATTTGAATGAGTTTATTACAAAAGTATATATATATGATTCTATTTATATAATTTTATTTTATATATTAACTTAAAAATAATTAAAATAATAGGAATTAGAGAAGTTATATCAAATATATTAATAAGAAAAAGATCTAGGAAGAACC